GGCTGAATAATTACACACACCCCACTTTGCAGTTATTTAGTTGTAAAAAATGTTTGGAATCATGTAGGATTTTTGTTCCACTTCTCACGTGTAAACCACTTTGTGTTGGTCTTTCACGTGGAATTCCAATAAAATTGATTCATGTTTGTGGCTGTAATGTGACAAAATGTGGAAAAGTTCAAGGGGCTTTTGCGATACTTTGTACCTGGATTATTGCATTAAGCTTGTCCATTTCTTAATTTAGTCTAAAGTTGAGGTCTCCCTCAAGAACAAGAGAGCAACCTAGATATTCAGAGTCTACAGTAAAAAAAAAGCGTGGAAGACCAAGATATCGTCAACATTTGGGCCCTATACACTTACAATACATATCTTTGTATAGATAATTTCATGATTAGAAATTTTCTCTCTGGATCTATAACTCTGTTGAGTACTGTGAAATTAACACTTTTATGTATTAAAATTACTATTCCCCTAATGATATAGCAGGCTGAGAACACATTAGGAAACACAAGTGTTTTAAATTCATCTGTAGCTGTGACAGGTCTGCCTGTAGTTTTTTTTTTGTTTTGTTTGTTTTTTAAAATATATTTAACCTCTTATCCTTAACCTCTGGTTCCAACAGATTCCATGTGACAAACCTTAGTGTGCCCATAGCTAATGTGTAGCTAATGTTGCTCACTGTGTGTGATGCTTAAATGAATGAGAATAAAAGACATACATCACTCAGGAAAAAAAAAGTGTAGCGAGAGGTTCCACAAGGGTGCAATATGTAAATGAGAGTGGTTCTTGTTGTTGCCTGATTATGTGTTTCAATAGTAACTTATATGAGCAAGTATGTGTGCGCTTTCTGCTGTTATTATGCCCACTACGCTAGATACATGCACTTCTCAATCAGAGTTTAGATACTGCTGATTGGCAGTCTCAAATTCCTGGATATCTTTTTATATCCTTTTCCTGTTTTGTAAAGTTCATCTATCTTCTCCTGGAGATCCTTTAATAATTTTTTTGCTTTCACCATGCCCCCAAGCCCAGAAACTCACTAACGTTTTATAGACATACACTTATTACAAGCAAACAGATCACAGGGGAGGATAGCTACCTTTAGTAGTCATTTAAACCTGTGTGTCAACTTGTGTGATTTTGATTTTTTTCTGTTGTCATTATGATTTATGTTTTTCATATTGTTAAACATCCTGCAAAACAACCTGACAAAACAAACAACCTGATTTAATTTCTCTAAATCTGAAAGTGGCTATGCAGCGACATTCCCCATCCAAAAATACCATAGTGTGAAAAAATGTTTGCCACCTTTCTGTTTTTCTGTATGTTTGTCACACTTAAATGTTTCTGATGATTATAAAAATGTAAATATTACACAAAGATAACACAAGTAAACACAAAATGCCGTTTCTAAATGAAGGTATTTATTATTAAGGGGGAAAAAAAATCCAAAATTATATGGCCCTGTGTGAAAAAGTGATTGTCCCTAAATCTAATAACTTTTTGGACCACCCTTAGCAGCAACAGCTGCAATCATGTGCAATAACTGGCACTGGGTCTTTTACAGCTGTGGAGAAATTTTGGTACATCTTTGTAGATTTGTTGTAATTCAACCACCTTGGAGGGTTTTTGAACATGAACTGCTGAGAAGCTGTGGCCATGCCACAGCGTCTTGTCCTGATGCAGAAAGTGAGC